TGATTGTGAGAGACATCAAAGATGCAATAACGAAGCAACCCACTCTCATTCATGACTATGTGTGTGAATCGTTTAGATTTGCGTAGTGTGTGGGAATGCATCCGCCTCGACGTGGAGAAGCATCATTAGTTAAATCTGACAGGCGGAATGAGAAAGCACAAGAGGGTCGCATGATCTGCACATGCACACGTCATGAAATCACACGTCACAACTGACTTTACCAAGCATTTGAACTGAATGCACCATGCACACACAAAGACATGCCCACTGGCCGCCTGCGCGTTCATGCCTTCAACTTCGACCTCTGACCTTCAGCTCTGTCCATGGTTCAAGACAAGCACAGAAGTGAGATGTCGCTGAATTGGCTGTTCTGAAGCCACAGTGAGAATTATAGAGCACACATGGACACATGAAAAGAATATGAAAATAGCCCAATGGGACATGACAATCTTTCACCAGGCAGCGAGTAATATCATCAATAACAGTGAAAGTAACAGACTATCACAAATTTGATGTTTAGTATGGAATTACATTTGTGCCACAAGCATTGGACATTACTTTTCATAAAGATGTCACAAACAGTCCAAAAATAGTGTTTATTATAATAATAACAAAGCACTGAACTGCACATCTTAAAATGCATGATAATATAATATACCTATGATATACCTTGAAAAAGTTTTATTATGCAGTTCTATATTTTTATGCATTCATACCTGACTTGCATCTTAAAGCGTGTATAATTTCATTTTTATAATAAGTTAATTTATTTTATTTTTAATTGTTTTAAATTATTACTTTTTCAATAATAATAATAATAATAATACTGATACTGATAATTCAAATGATTTAATAATGAGAGACCAACATCATAAGTTAACTTTCTTTTTTGTTATCATCTTTTCATTCTTTAAAAATTCAGTAAATGACACAAATTTATCAAAATGCAGTTAGATTTTTATGCATTTACACCTTAACTTGCAGCTTAAAACGTAGTTATAATATAATATAATATAATATAATATAATTTGATCAGTACTCCAAAAGTTACATTCAATCATTTTGGCACAAATTTAATTACATAATAGAGCGGGAATTTAGACCAACATGGCAAACCTACAAAAACAAGCTAACAATGAAATGACTGGCTCATCTAAGCAGGACAAAAATACAGTATTAACAGGATGAGACTCACCATCCGATCGGTGGATACAGGTGTGCTGGTTGTCACTCAGGAAGAAGCCATCTTTGCACTGGCACTCGTAGCTGCCCATGGTGTTCACACAGATCTGCTGACAGCCACCATTGTTGTCCAGACATTCATCCACATCTAAAGAGACACAAACACACACGGTCATTACAAAGCACACAAACACAGTCATTCAAGCACAAGGATCTGGGCAAAACCACCATGCATTGTCTCTCTGCGTAACCAAAGCCGGCTCAGCTCAGGCATTTGCAACAGTGTTTGTTTATCCGGAGCTGATTTTCCTTGATTTCCTCTCAGAGACTAATGGTTACTGAAGAATGCAGCTACTGAAGAATGTTGATTAAATGAGTAGTTTGATATTCGAGTTTCCAAACACATCTACCAGACAAATAAACTAGTAAACAGACATCCAATCATTCCAGCTTAAATAAGAAATTTAAAACAATATCCGACATCCAGACCCTCAGTAGTGGCTAAATCGTTACTTTTTAAATACTCTGGCTAAACTAAAATCTGTTTGGATGAGAGTATCTTGTGCGTCCAATCTATATGTGTGTTTGCCCATTTCTTTGTCTTTGACAGCTCTATAAATGGCATTGTGGGTATGTTGGTTTGAGTAACAGCGTGACACTGGAGACCAGTAACACACATGAGTGAGTTTTATGCAGCCTTAACACAGCAACCTGCCTCTGTGGAGTCGGCAGCCCATAACTCTCTCTCAGGGGTGTTATTATATCTTGGAGTAACACCACTGCCACTCTTCTGTCACTCGTCACTGCTGAATGTTCATGACAACATATTTTCCCACCTCAGGCTAGAAGTTACAGGTCCGTAATCACCATAGATACTTGAAGACCACTAAAGGGGATCTTGCTTGGTATTCACATAGCTGTAATTTGAATAGACAACATGCACATGCTGGTCGTATTACTCCGGTATTTTGTTAAAAAAACACAAAGCAAAGCAAAACAAAAAGAAGCAAATCCCCATACAAAACTAAACCAAACAAACAAAAAAGCCTCAAACAAAAGCAAACAAAACCAAATTATGTCACGATGCTACTGTGAGGAGCAAAGGAGCGCGGAGACGAAGGAGATTCAGGATAACAGTCTTTAATAGTCCAAAACAAGGGGTAACACAGGGCTTGGCAGGAACACACATGTAGCACATAATACAGACGACACCGGACAAAGGAATCAGGAAACAGACAACACTTTAAATAAAGGGCTTAATGAGGGGTAATTAACGGGACACAGGTGAAACAAATGACTACTCAACGAGAGGGAAAAACTGGGTCACGGGGAGCACATGGGAGAAAACACAACAAAACAGGTCCATATTCCTTACAAATTAAAACAGCAAACTCAAATCAACCCCCCCCCAAAATCAAAGACCAAATGAAACCAAACCAAACAAAACACAACAAAAATTAAATATAAAAAACAAGGCAAAACAAACCCAAACAAAAAACAAGCAAAACCAAACGAAACAAAAAGCAAAAATAAAACAAACAAAAGGCAAAAACAAAATGAAACCAATCAAAACCAAAACAAACAAAAATAAAAAAACAAACAAAAAAAACAAATAAAAGACAAAAACCAAATGAAACAAAACAAAACCAAAGCAACCCAAAATAAAAACAAAAACAAAAAAAATCCCCAAACAAAAGCAAACAAAACTAAACAAAACCAAACTAAAACAAACCCAAATCACCCCCCCCCACCCAAAATAACAAAGTCCAAAATGAAACCAAACAAAACACAGCAAAACAAATTAAATCAAACAAAAACAACAAAACCCAAACAAAACAAAAACCAACATGGAACCAAATGAAAAAAAACAAAAAAAACAAATGAAAAAAACAAAATAAACAAAAGTAAAAACCCAAATGAAACAAAACAGAACTAAAAAAAGGATGCATGCCCTAAACTTTAAGTGGGGAAATGATACAGCACAACAATATTGAACAAGTGAAGAACAAAGACAACTTCTGCATATTTTTATAAAATGCATTGTAGAAAAAAAACAATATAGTAACAGCTTCAATAAAAGTTACATTTAGAAAGAATATAGAAAATAATTGTGTGACATTTATGAATAGATACATGGCAAATTGTTTGTAGGTATACGTTTCCATCAGTCTTGTTTTAGTATAATCCGGTTCTATTGTTTACAAGCCACTTACAAAACTCGCATTGAATGTTTTAAACGGGAAGGCTGAATGAGCATCAAAGCTTCTGTAAATGAGGTGTGGAAACAACATGCCAGTTTCCTCCACTGTCATATGTGAATTATCATCACTGCACTCACAAACACGCTTTTTTTTTGGAAACACGTTTCCACACCGAGTCACATTTACATGTCTTTTGATAACGGCACTGCAGCTAATGTGGACGTGTGTTTATGTTTACTGCCCTGTCTGTTTGGAGTGCGTTGAGAGGCAGCAAGTTTCACAAGCTCTTTGTGTGCGTAAAGACCTTTACAGCCGTTAGCGCCTGTACGTGGCGGCATAAAAGAACACTATCCGGCCCAATGACTTCACTATCATCTCCTGTGTAGCTTACGAGCTAAGACTACTGGGCTAAAGGAGACTAACTGTCTAATGAACTCGGGCTTTTGTGTCCTGAGTGGATCTTGTTGGTGTGTACACTTTATTTGGGCTAACTTCTTTGCTAAAGTCTGGACATGCTATTTATTCTCTATTTTCTTTTGAATAAATTACGATAATACGCATCAGCTGAAAGACATGTATGAATGTAGGACATACACATACACATAATCTCATCCACAACATGCAGACACAACCACAGTTTAAATTGGTCACAGTGGTTTATTATGTGGCTCCGGCATTACCTGGCGACATAACTCTTATTTTAGCATCTGCAGGGCGTCTCGTTAACGCAGCCAAGACAGCAAGGCCTTTACTGTCCTATTAACTACTGTACCCATCGAGAGAGGGGGTCTTTATGTCCTTGTCCATAGAGGCATCCCTGTCTGCCCTAGGAACCAAAAGGTTTTTGTACTACGCAGTAGGGTTTAAAAGTCTGAGATTACTTGTGAAAATGCTTCTATTTTGCATTGATTTAATATAAAAAGTTTTAAAGGAATCTCAAAGTCAGAGACTTAAATATCTGTCATCAAATTCTTCTATTTATGGAATTCAAAGTATATAATGCACAGTAATTTTATAATGTTATAACCTACACTGCCATTCTAAAATTTTGAGTCAGTAAGATTTTTAATCTCACCGATATTGCATTTATTTGATCAAAAATACAGTGAAAACGGTAACATTGTGAAATATTACTATTTAAAACAGCTGTTTTCTATTTTAATATATTTAAACATTTAATTTAGCAATTACTCCAGTCTTATACTTAAGAAAAATCCTAAAATGTTGATTTGATGATCAAGAAACATTTATTATCACGAGTGTTCAAAACAGTTGTGCTGCTTAATGCTTTTGTGGAAATAATTTTCATTTTCAGGATTATTTGAAGAACAGAAAGTCTTCTAGAAAGGAAATCTTCTGCAATATTATAAATGTCTTTACTGTCACTTTTTGGTCAATTTTAATGCATCCTTACAGAATAAAAGTATTAATTCCTTACTGACCCCAAACTTTTCAACAGTGGTGTATGTTGACACCTGTGTAATTTGTGACTGCATTTCCAAAGGATTTTCAGGAGAAGTATATGAGACAGACCAAATAAAAAATGATACAAATGATAACCGTAACATAATCAAAAACTCCAGGAGGGTTTGGGGAAGACATGCTGGCTGCCTCTGTCTCGAGTGACTCTATAGCTGCAAGCATGTTGTGCGCCGTGTTTAATGTGGGAATGGAAACAGATATCATCAGTGTGACAGCCCTCTCTTGCTTTAAAAGGAGGGAAAAAAAATAACATTTCAGCTGTCATCTCTCAATTAAGGCCCTCTCTGCCAAAATTTAAACAAGAGCCCTGGCATCCCGGTCTGCGAGTTTAAACTAGAATGCTTTTGTTTTGTTTGATTGCTCTAGTGTAAACTTTAATTTGGAGGAGATCTAAGATGACATGACACAACAGCGAGAAAAAGAAAGGGAGAGAGAGAGAGAGAAGATGAGGGAGGAGGAAACAGAGAGAAATTCAGGGCAGAATAAAAGAGAAGGCACAAGAATCAAAGAGTAAGAGGAGAGGACTGAACTGAAGTGAGTTGAAGAGAAATAAACTGAATGGAACAGAACAGAAACAATAGAAGTTCAGCAGTAAACAGGACTATACAAAATGGAACAGAAAAGATAAGAACAGAGGAGAACAGAAGTAAGGTAAATAGAACAGGAAAATAAACCCCTTTCACACAGAGATTCGGGGAAAATACACTGATAATGTGTTGGTTTGTTCAAACTGATTTTCTGGAATATGTGCGTGCATTCAAACACATCCTGTAAAGATCCACGTGACATCAGGATGTGATATGTAATGATCATACACTAGCGCATCGCATACCTTTCCACTAAGCTGACGAACGATCTCAGCTTCAGTGAGGAGGCAATGTTATTAGGTCGCAGTGTTCATTTTGACAGCGAATTTTGATTTAGCTTTAGTCATAGTCTTTTGACTAAAATGCCATTTAGTTTTAGTCATATTTTAGTCATCTGAATTTTTTTTTAGTTTTAGTCTAGTTTTAGTCAACTAAATCTACAGTAAATTTAGTCGGCTAAAATCTAATGGGTTTCCAAATTCACTAGGTTTGATATTAAGGTTTTATCGTGATAGACACCGATTTAACTGCGGTGACACACAACATGCCTTTATGTAAAAATGAAATAAAACCACTTCTCATAAAGAACAAGAACATGGTCTTCTTCTCAATGAAATACAAATGGTTATATAGGCTAATTATGCATTCTTTATAACAACTTGTTTACCACATTCTTCATTCTTTCAAGCAGACATATTTATTTCTATAAATAAATTTAGATTAGTCTTTAGGGCTACTAAAGTTTTTCCAGTCAAGAGCAGTGAGTGATTTTCTGTCTTTCTTTTGTTGCTTGATTAACATCAATGCCACAGACAATAGCAACTAAATTAGGATGCTGTCCCTTTAAAACCGGATGCAATGTACTAATACACGTCCAATATTCTCCCAACTGTTTATGTTCACATAAGACATAACCGAGTGTGTTTACGTGAATACTCGTCAAAACAGACAATTCGACATCATTTTGTGTGTATTTCTCCATTCATGAGACGTTTTTGTACGTTTTATGAGACGTGCAGCAAGTGTATGTTAGCTTATGTCTCGCCGGTACATATGTACGCATCTAACTACGCAGCAGATTTGTTCTGAACGAATCTCTTCCCAAATCGTCCCTCCCTAAAATTTTCGTCTCGTTTTTATTCGTTGACGAAAATGTCAGTAGATTTTCATCATAGTTTCTGTCATTCAAAACGAGTTTTAGTTCGTCATCGTCTCGTGAAAAAAAAAGTTGACGAAAATTATGATGAAAATTATTTGTCAACGAAATTAGTAGGTCGCTATCTCAGGATCAATCCCGGGATGTGAACAAAAACAAAAAAAGAGTCAAGTGAACCGACAACTGAACAAAACCGAAAAGAACTGGACAGAAGTGAAGTGAAGTGAAGTGAAGTGAAGTGAAAAGAACTCAACAGATGTGAACAGAATAGAAGTGAAGTAAACAGAAACTTAAGAGAAAAGAAGCAATGTGAAGTAAACAGAAGTGAAGTGAAATGAAGCAAACAGAACAGAACAAAACAGATCTGACATTAGAACAGAACAGAAGTGACAAAAAGTGAAGATAAGTAAAGTAAAGCAAAAAAAAAACCTAAGTGAAATTAAGTCAAAAGAAGTGACCAGAAGAGAATTGAAATAAAGATGCGAAGAACAGAAAAAAAGTGAAGCGACACAAACAGAACAGACCAAAACAGAAGCGAAGAGAAATAATTCAACAGAACGGTACTGAGATTTATCTTGTTTAAAGTGACCTCAGTTACAACATCACCCCTGTTGTAATTGTAACTACATGAGTTTTCTCCTCCCATTCTGATGTTGGAGCGAGAAGGGAAAAGCAGCCAAAAGATAAATAAACAGCAGCGGCAGTGCAGGCATTCATAAAAAAAAAAAGAGCCAAATGATCAACACATTGAGTCCAGCTGCCTGCACGGAGAAGAAAAACAAATAAGAATGGAAATGAAAAAGACAGAGGAACTGCAGTAAATTGCTCTTTAATCAGCTCTCCATTAGCCAATCTTAAATCAATTAAAGCTTTAACTTGTTAACATGTGGAGATCTGAAACGACTTCCTACACAAGATCAGCCAGGCAAACAAGCCACAGCACTGATTTCCGTACCGTTTCAAAGAGCTCGCGGTTTGGTTAGCGCTCAGTAGGTTTGTTTGAACACACTCTGTGAGTGTGTGCGTGTGTGTGTGTTTATTCAGAACATAATCAGTGGCACAAGCCACACTAAGGCAAGCATCACTATTGCTATTGCTCATGTGCTTTACTCTTGCTTGGGCGGGTTGGGTATCTGTGGAATGGATTTAAAACTGAGTTGAATACAACTTTTACTGGTACCTGAAAACATAAACAAAGCCCAAGTACAGTGAATACAAGTCAGACAATTTCTGATAATTTGTTGCTGAAATATGATGTTTAGCCCTTCAAACAATGTCATTTTTTTTATAGATAAGATTTATAGAAGACCATTTATGTATCAGGAAAAAAAAATCTCAAATGCAGCTTGCGCGATTATGACATTATTATAAATTATTTAATACCTTTAAACTTTATTTGTTTCATGCTTATTAACTAACATGCTTACAACACTCTAGCAAGCAATTATAACACTAATAACCTAAACAACAACATTTTGACAATCACCCACAACACCCATGTGATGGAGAGTTTTGTATGAACTAATCACATTTCCATCAGGAAATGTAAAAAAATCTAGTTAAAAGAAGTCATTAATTATCTCGGAAAAGGTTACGCAAGGAGAAAATGTAATAGAAAGAGAATGTCAAAAACACAAAAAAGAGATTACAGGAAAAGGTCATCATAAACATGATTCATTTAACCTTTCAAGAAAGTCAATAGTTCTAGTGGTTTCACTTCCATCTGAACTTGCCATAATGTGCACAGATGCCAATGAGGGTGCTATGAGAACACATCATATGACGTTAAAGCGCCAATGAGAATGAATAATGTTTCGAAAGAGCAAACAAACACACACACACACACACACACACACACACACAGATGATGTGTGAATGAGAAGCATCAGCATTAAGCAGACAGGAGAGAGTAACAGGAAACATGACGAAGCGCCATATGATGACAAGGAAGTGTTTCATCTACCGAAAGACAATTTTAGCCCTTGTATAAAAACAGAGACTTATTGGAATCATTGTATGTGGTAATAAACTTTATGCCAAAAATGCTATATTGAACCTCTCGAATGAAGATTAAAGTAACTTAAAAAAAAGACTGCATGCAAGGCAAAGAAGAGGACAGGGAGAGAAAAATGCTAAAATTATTGACTTTTTCTGTGTCAATCTATTTCTAGGTAGAGGTGGAGGAGAGGACTGAGACAAAGACAGACAGAACCAGATTAAATCCAGGAGAGAAGACAAGACAGAAAGGACGGAAAGAAATGAAGAGAAATGTAGCGAGTCAGACACAGAAAACTGGAAGCGGACGGAAAGACATAACAAGAACAGCAGAAGAAGGGGGTTTCGAACAGGAGAGCCCCCTCAGTGCTGCTGATGGCTCTCTACGGCCTTGTCTTAGTTCCCAGAGCCATCATTTAGACTTGTATTTGAGACATTCCACAATAAAGATGTCAAATAGAAGGCAAGTCTATCGCCTCTAGGGAAACAGCCTGGAGTTACTCCAAAGAGACCCACAGCCAAGATAACCAAGAAAATACAGAGAGAGGGAGAGTGCAAAGATATGATGGGAGAAAGAAAGAGAGAGAGATTTTAAGGAGGAGGATAAAAAGAAAAGTTTGAGAAAGTGAAAAATGAAGGACTGCTTTTGAAAGAATTCAGTATTATCACAGTTTTTAGACATTGTATTGTAGTAATACCTTGGTTTTATAGGTATGGTTCCATGGTTGTACCATAGTATTCAAAGAAATAACTTAAGAGCACCTTGCTTGTTTCTGGCCCAATAGTTCAACAGTGGGAAGTTTCTATCTATGAAAGCATTTAGTTCAACAAGTGGTTTTGATCAGAATAACAAGGATGCATTAGACTGCTTAACAAAGACAGACTTTATTAGTGCTACTGTGATAAAATTAAGAGCAGGACTGTTTGTTTGATCCAGCAATGGAGGACAACAGAGATAGTGCAAACATTCGTTACTTTCTCAGTTTATTTGGTGCATTTCTAGTGGTACAGAAATGACCAAGAGTCTCATGATAATTTATAAGTATTTAAGTAAATTGGTTGCGATTTTTTTTTAAATGAATTTGTCTGTATGCTTTCATACCAGTCAGATCGTACAAATTCATATGATATTGCCAATTAGGGGTGGGGTTAGGGGTGGACCTTTATGATGACGTTTTACCTGCAAATTGTATGTTTTTGTGCCAATCAGGCCATATAAAATTATATGAAATTATCAGTTAGGGGTGCGGTTTAGGGGGGATCTTCACTGTGACAATTTACCTACAATTTGTATGTTTTCATACCAGTCGGATTGTGCAAATTCATACAAATTAAGTCCAACTATGGGTAGGGTTAGGGGTGGACCATCATGGTTAAGTTTTATCTTTAAATCATACATTTTTAGACCAGTTGGATCATACAAATCCATATGAAATTGCCAGCTATAGGGGTGGGGTCATGGTATACCTACAAATCATACTATCAGATCGCACAAATTCATACAAAATCGCCAACTAGGGGTGGCCCTCCATGGTGACGTTTTAAATCATACGTTTTTGTACCAGTCAGATCGTACAAATTCTTTTGGAATTCCCAACTAGTGCAGTGTTTACATATTCTCACAAGATCGGATTGGAAATGACACACTTCACCTTTTGTGATATCTAAGTAATTACCATGGTATTACTATTATCTGATGTCACCATTGTACCGCCTCAGTTGTTTTGAAAGAGACACAAATTAGGGAAAACCATATAAAGGAATTGTGCAAGTTGATGTAGCAAGACGGAGGAGGTGCTAAAGGTCTCTGAAGGTCTGAGCCCTGATGTCCTGGGATCCATCATCATTACAGCAGCTAATGAAAAATGATGACCTCAGCATCCTGAAACTCGGCTCGGCGCACATATTTGCTTTGGATTATGAGAGCAGAGAGGAGATGAGATGAGTGCAGCTCAAGTTCTTCACCCAGCTGCTCAGACGCACACCAGCGCTGTCTTCTCTCTCTCTTTATCTCTTGCAACATTGATGTTTGGACTGTAATACGTAGTCACCATGACACCATAAAGCCACCACACTTCAGGTTGATAAGTCGCTTTCAACCAAAGACACATCTGCACTCACTTAAGTGGGGTAAGCTACAAAAAACACACTTTTTAACGAATTCCTGAATCCCCACAGCAATCCAGCAAAACCATGAGACCCGGCCCTAACTCTCCGGGTCATGGAATTTCATCTTTGAACTATTCCAATAAATATGAGATGGCAAGTTATTAATTTTCTCTCAGCCTTTTCTTCCCCTACTTCCATTTTTAACCGCTAACATAAACATCGGACCTGACTGCCGATTTCTGGGAATTGGACGCGATTGCGCCACTGGTGACATTTGGGTGACATTTTTAAGAGATGAAAATAATCACGAGGTTCCTGTTGGCGCGCTCCTGTCACAACGTGGATGGAATACTGGCGCTAGACGCAGCTCGGCTGGCCTTTTCCGAGGCGCTGCGCAGAGATCGCTGCGGCAGATTTGTTTATGTTTGCGAAGGGGGGTCGTTACAAAGGTCATTAGCCGGGCAAAGAGATGACGAGGCACTACCTCATCTGTAAGTCCATCAGGAGAGGCAACTGTGTGCGTATATTTCTATCTAGCAACTTACCGAGACAGTTGTGCCCATCATCTGCCAGCATGAATCCGTCGTAGCATGTGCACCTGTAGTTCCCGGGTATATTGATGCAGTCGTGAACACATCCACCATTGTAGTCATTTTCACACTCGTCCATATCTGAAAAAGACAACATACACACATAACGAACCCATTGAGTCAGTAGAGATCAGACAAATATATCCAAATATGAAATCCAGCAATACACATTGAAGTTTAATACATAGGTTAAGGGTTGTTCAAACAGCAAAAGACTACTAAAAAGTTGAATTCTGTTAATGATACTAAGCAGAGGTTAAATAAGGAGGTTTAAGAAGAGCTGGCTTATGAAACAAGCTTTCATTGCTGCTATGAGTTTGTACAGAAGACAGACGTAAGTAGGGACACTAAAATAAACACAATATTTCTCTCTCTTTCACTCACACACACTTGAATGCATTGAATTCAGATAGACAGCAAGTGACTGTTCTCTGCCAGAAGATGATCGTGGGTATCTGCTTTATGTTTTGCGCTACCTCGGAGTGTGTGATTTAATAAACTTGGCTTGTGCTCTTGGAGACATACAGCACAAACTAAAAATATCCATGTTATTTCCCACAAAAAACACACACACAACCCACATTGGGCAACTGTGGCTATGAGGACAGTGAGAACTACGTTTAAGAATGTTTTGTTTTTCTATTTCTACATCTACTCAAAACCGAAAATCTATCCAGACAGTAAAATATTCAGTGAACATACTAGTGCACATACTCATGCCACAAACACAAATCACACACACATGCAGATAGATATACACCAAAATTATAGAGGCATAAATACTTCACTAGTATTTTATTCGTTGTTTGTTTCTTTTTTCTATCAAAGAGTGTCGGTTTTGGCTTACTGTGAAGAAAAGGACCATCACAGTAGACAAACATGGAGCCAACTCATCATGAAAACATCCATAAACACTCTGGAGCAAACAAAAAGTTATGTTTCACTACCGTTTTATCTAGTGGACATGCTCCCAAAGAGCACTACATCTACAGGAAGAGGGAAAAATGCGAGAAAAGAGAGACAGATGGATGGAGGGAGACCCCTGAAGGTAAATGAGATGGAAGAATGACAGATTCAAAGGTTAAAGTTTAGATCTCACCGTGTGTTCCGGGTGTGTGTTCACGGTGTGTGTTCACTGCTGTGTGTGTGCACTTTGGATGGGTTAAATGCAGAGCACTAATTCCAAGTATGGGTCACCATATCACTTCACTTCACTTCATGAAAGGCCACTTTAAAATAACAAAGTGGGTCTCATACAAACATTTTCATGAAATAATCCACACAATTATAAGTGATTGAGACTCACTGTGTCCATCAGTAGCATTATAAATGCAAACCATCCAAGAACAGTAAGAAAACGAGTGTGATTTGAGGTGATAATGTTTTTAGGTGGCTGTGTGTGTGTTGCGGCCGTTTGCAAGGCTAACAGGGTGTATATAGGGTGACAGTGAAGGTGTGAGGGGGACGGGCTTGTTAAAGAGGTGGACAGCTAGTTAGCTTCAAGCTGACACACTTCCTGCCTCTGAGCTGTTGTTGATATGACCCGGCAGTGAGCCGACAGTTCGGGCTGATGCTTGCTGCGGTTTCTGCTGTCAACACGCACAGATCTCTAATCGAAGGAGAAGTGTTTACGCTCAACATCCCATCAAGCAGATTAAGCACCTCCGCTAACACCTCAGCAGGGGTGGAGCCCATGGGAGGCAACACCTCAACACCCCTATGGCCCAACACAACACGTCCAAATCCTAACTGCTGAACGTACCATGCAGAGAGCACAGAAATAGGCGGTTCTGCAAAAAAGCACTTTTTGATTGACTAGGACACAGACAAACGACGACGCCTTGCTAATGTGTGTTTCTGCAAAGTTTCCCACTTCTGGTGTTTAGTACAGGTGAGCGAGCAGAAAGCAGTAATGAAGTGTAAAACTTATATAAACTGAAGCATGTTCCCTCTTCGATTTTTGGAACCACGTTCCATTGATTCATAATGAATTTGCACCTTATTATAAACAAAAATGTGCTGGTCTTAATTGAGAAATCACACATTCAGTCAATCCATTCAAGAGCTGCACCTTCTGCAGAACAACTATTTCTACTTTTTTCAACATTTAGATTTAACTCATATTAGGTTTAACTCTTCAATATGTACTGCATAAGAGGAAGTGTTTCTCTCAGGTCCTGTAACTGATCATTTTTAATCACTATTGCATTATCAAAGGTCCTGTGACCTGAAAAAAAGTATTTTCTTAAAGTACAAATATTGTATGTAGTCTCTCAATACAATACCATAAAAAGTGCATGTACACCACTGACCAAATGTTTGTGTTTGTTAATATATTTAATGTTTTTGAAATGAGTCTTGCTCAAAAATATAGTAAAAACAGTAATATTGTGACATTATTCCAATTGTTTTCTATTTTAATATATTTTAAAATGTATTTTATTCCTGTGATGGCAAAGCTGAATTTTCAGCATCATTACTCCAGTCTTCAGTGTCACATGATTCTTCAGAAATCAGTCTAGTATGCTGATTTGCTGCTCAAGAAATATCTCTTATTATTATTAATGTTGAAAACAGTTGTGCTGCTTAATATTTTTGTGGAAACTACGATACAATTTTTTTCAGGATTATTTTATGAATATAAAGTTCAAAAGAACAGCATTTTTTAAATAGAAATCTTTTGTAACATTATAAATGTCTTTACTGTTAGTTAATGAATCCTTGCTGAATAAAAGTATGAATTTCTTTAAAATATGTTACTGACCAAATAGAAGAAATGCTGTTCAAAAAAAGTTTTAGATGAATTATATCATGTCACATGACACTGCTTGAAATTTCATGTCAACTACATGATGATTTTAAGCTTTTTAGTGTGTGTGGTGGCACATAAAGCAGCAAAGAGACTGACGTGTCCTGTGAGGGGAGAGTCAGGGATGAAGGGTGGGCACACTCAGACAGCCAATCGGAGCATCGGCAGCTCTGTGACGAGTCCGCAGACACCAGGCAGACAATGGCCTAGTAATGGGTCGACACCTCCATCTCTCATTCCATTTATCTGTCTCCTCCTCACCACCCCCCAGCCCCTTTTCTAACGTTTTCTCATTGAAACATATGAAAACACACTTGGGAGCACAACTACACACATACTCCAACTCAGAGACTAGGGCACTTCTTCAGCGGCGACAATTACCTGACCTCTTTCACAGACAGAGATAAAAAAGGAATGGAAGGAAAGAGAGAAAAAGAAAACGAGGCAGACAAGACAATTCTCTCCCAGGTAAACTCACTGACCTAATGCTGAGTCATGTTAAGGCTTTGTTTAATCTCTCCACCCCTGCAAATAAACCCTTGCATCATGGGGGATTTGTGATCTGTGTGGATTCCCTTGTGAGCTCCGCCCACTGATGAATCTCATCAATTAATCAATTAGCATAATCAATAAAACCCAAAAGGGTAAGGAATGAAGTGTTATGTCACAACTACGTCATTGCATGTTATATAATTCTCCCTTTTGACTTTAAAGTTAAAGCATGTAATGCATTTAATTTCTGATAGTCCCGCCCCCAACTCATGCCATTGGTTGAGCCAATGTTGCTGTGTCATGCTGGTCGGGATGCTCAAACAAACAGAGCAATGTTTTGATAGCACCACAGAGCCATGCACAGTGCTTACATTTTTCAGGGGAATCAATCTACAAATGGCTTACTTATAGTCTCTGCATATTAAGCTGGACAGGAAAAAGTATTTTAACACTGAAAAATAGACACACTTCTGCTATAAGAGCATTTTAATTGCATTATGGCATCTGAGGAAATACCATCAGAAGCATTTTAAAGCATACGTTTAAATGATGTCCACCAGCCCTCAAAAAACATCAGCTACATAATGTAAAGCAGGTTTACAAATCACAGCTCACATATCACTTGACTTTACACTGACAGAAACAAGCAAATACACATTCTTCTGTATATTCATCGGCTCACACATTTTTCAGTTTCATCGGCTTTGTTTCTGGCACAATCCGAATCCAAATCTTTCAGCAGTGACAGCCATGGCATCATTCATGATAATACAGAGAAGTTGCAGTTACAAACTCACAATTACAAGCAGATGCACCTCGAAGCAGCTCAAAAACCTGTTTTGTTGTCAATGTATAACTTCTCACCATCTAAAGCACTATTTATTTGGAATGACTAAAAACCAAGTTAAAGATTGATCTTATTGGCAATCAGGAGACTCCATCTGATTCACATTGGTGTACAGGAGAAACAACTCAGATGTTAAAGGAATAGTTCATCCGAAAATTTTAATTTGTGGAAAATTTACACACACTTAATTTGTTTGTCCATCGGAACAGATTTGGAGAAATTTAACATTACATCACTTGCTCACCAATGGATCCTCTGCAGTGAATGGGTGCCGTCAGAATGAGAATCCAAACAGCTGATAAAAACATCACAATAATACACAAATAATCCACAGAGTCCAGTCCATCAATTAACAGCTTGTGAAGCGAAAAGCTACATGTTTGTAAGAAACAAATCCATATTTAAACCGCTTTCAACTTCAAGTTTTCAAAAGAAACAAACTCATCTACATATTAGATGGCCTGAGTGCAAGTACATTTTCAGCAAACTTTAGGTGAACGATTCCTTTAAGGAGATATTAATTGTGACTTGTCTTTTTTCTAATGAATTGTCTGCAATTAAGGTGTTTTAGGAGAAACATCTGAGACAATGGTCATACATAAATGAAATGTATCTGAGATCGCCTTTGAAAGAGCAACCTCTAAGCAATACAGATTTACTCTGGGTTGCATCTTGGTAAATATGAGCACAGGCTGAGATATTTTTTGAGACATGAGGGATTGCTATGATCATTTCTCAGGAGAAACATCTAAAAAAGCAGGAGACTTCGGCTAAAAGTCTATTTAGCCTCTTTGTTGTATACGAGAAACTTACATGATATTAAAACGATAGGTTATGAACAGTGTTGGGAAGGTTACTTTAGAAATGTAACAGGTTACAGATTACAAGCTACCCTATTTAAAATGTAATAAGTAGTGTAACTATTTCAATTACTTTATTGAAGTAATGTAACTGATTACATTTGATTAGTTTTTGATTGCTTTTCTAAATTTCTATTGGATGTTTTCAACTGTTAATCAGTTAATCAACTCTCAGACAGGTTGTAGCCTAAAGCGATCAGCAGCATTGTGGATTGATGTAATTGACAGACGTGGTGCACTGCAAATCCAAACAAGAGAACCAATCAAAAGCATCAGAATAGCATTGCTTTACTAAAAGGCCTTTAAATGGCAGAATGCATCATGTACATAAAAAACAGGCAAAGCCTTCATGCACATAAAAAACAGGCAAAGCCTTAATATATTAATAATATATTAATATTATTCAACATATATAAAGCTTTTTACAGAAAATATTCAGATGCAATCATTAATATTTTCATAAGTAACTGTAATTTAATTACACATTTTTTTCTCAGTATCTGTAACAGATTACAGTTACGTTTATTGGATATATGCTCAACAGACTTTACTAGCTACAAATGCACTGATGTGTAGACAGACAACATGACTGCATTAGAGTGTTAGCAAGTGTTTTCTTCATTTTCTTCAAAGCCAAACATGCAGGGCTTTAATTAAAGGGTGGGTATGGGGAGTGTTAATGGGCTTT